CATATTGGGCCACTAAAAAAAGGGGGCTCGTCTTGTCGGGGTGTTTTTCTCCTCCTCCCCTCTCCCCGCCGGCTCAGGTCTGCGTGACTCCGACGCCCGCAAGGTTTGGAGAGCGGTGGGTGCGCGGGACCCGCGGGCTCGCCGGGACTTGGACTGGCCTTGCCGCCCCCTCCTCCCGCCTCCTCCCCTCCCCTCCCCGCCCTGCCGCCGCCGCCGCCGCCGCCGCCGCCGCCGCCGCACACTTGATCGCTGAGACTCCGGGCTGCCGGGCCGGGGCTTCCCCGCGCCCCCTCCCCAGACCCGCGCGCTCCGGACGCTCGGCGGCGACTGGCCCGCGTCCGCGCCTCTTGGCTCCGAGCGCCGCCGCGGGGCTCCCGAGCGGGGTTCGGGCTGCGTCGGCGCGTTTTGTTTTGTTCGGGCTTGTTTTTCCGAGAGCGCCCGAGCGGCGGCCGCCCAGACCCGGGAGGGCAGGATGTCAAACGTGCGGGTGTCTAACGGGAGCCCGAGCCTGGAGCGCATGGACGCCCGGCAGGAGCACCCCAAGCCCTCGGCCTGCAGGAACCTCTTCGGCCCCGTGGACCACGAAGAGTTAACCCGGGACTTGGAGAAGCACTGCCGAGACATGGAGGAGGCGAGCCAGCGCAAGTGGAACTTCGATTTCCAGAACCACAAGCCCCTGGAGGGCAAGTACGAGTGGCAAGAGGTGGAGAAGGGCAGCTTGCCCGAGTTTTACTACAGGCCCCCGCGAGCCCCCCAAAGGCGCCTGCAAGGTGCCGGCGCCCGAGAGCCAGGATGTCAGCGCGAGTCGCCAGGCGGTGCCTTTAATCGGGGCGCCGGCGAACTCGGAGGACACGCACTTGGCGGAGCAAAAGACGGACCCGTCCGACGGCCAGACGGGGCTGGCCGAGCCTTGCGCGGGAATCAGGAAGCGACCCGCCGCAGACGGTAACGACCCCTCCAGGGCCCTCGAGCGCCCGTCTGTCTGGGCCCCGCTGGAGGGTCCTGACCTGCGCGGGCTGGGCGGCGCGCTCCGAGCCAGCTGTGGGGGAGCCCGCGTGGCCAGCCCTGGGTTTTGAAGGCCACCTGGCTGGCTTGCTCGTCTGTTACGATTTTTTTTTTTTTTTAACTCAGAAGCAAGCAGGAGATTGTGAGATCTGATAATGTCCCTCACGTAAAACTTCGCGCTTCCTCCCTGCTAGCCAGCCCTAGGTCTGTGACAACGGTGGGATGTTTATCAACCGTCCGCCTCCCGGCTGGGGAGGGAGAGATTCGGGGCGGGCGGAGAATACACTTTCTGTTTTGTGAAAACAACCTCATTTTTGTGCCCTTAAAGGCCACTGGGGATGACGGATCTAGGCCCGTGGGTGGAGGTGGTGGGTTTTTTCATCCCCTGGCTACGAGGCGACTCCTGCCAGCCATTGTTTTTTTTCTGATAAAGATTGTTTGTGTGTCTGTTCTGCTTTACATTTTCCTTCGCCCTTAGATTCTTCTCCTCAAAACAAAAGAGCCAACAGAACAGAAGAAAATGTTTCAGACGGTTCCCCGAACGCCGGCTCAGTGGAGCAGACGCCCAAGAAGCCGAGCCTCAGAAGACGTCAGACGTAAACAGCTCGGTGGGTTGATCTTCAAGAGCACAGACGCACAGCGAACTGGGCTGCGGGAGCCTTCAAACCCCACCATGCCCCATCTTACTGGTGCTGGCAGATTAGGAACTTGGGGAGGGAGGATTTGTTTTCTTTATACTTTTGTGAGGTCAAAAAAGTAGCATTGGGGAAGACTGGGGATCGCTCCGGGGGTACTGTAATTCTTCAAAGTTTCCACATGCCTAGAGATGTTTTTCCTTGAAACTCTAAGCGACTAGAGCAGGTGTCCCAGGCAAGAACTTGGAACCAAGGCCTCGTCGGTAGAAAGGTCATTTCCCTGTGATTCCCACCAAAACATGTTGGGAACAATAGGTTATTTCCCCCATGCGACCAAGAATGGAGGTACTCCTCGCCCCCACTTGATGAGAATTCCTTTCCCAAGAGTTCAGGCTCAATCAGTAACAGATTCTGAGCCATATGCCGAAAAAAATGGCACGCACATAACTAGGTTTACATTTTGAGAGGAAAGTTGGGTAGAAATAGCTCACCTTTGCTTTATGCAAGGGGTTAGAAGTGTGAATAGGGTAGATTTTGGTGTTCTTTTATCTTTATCATTTTCATAAACTATCCCTTTCCCTGTTTTCTGATAATACTGGCGAGAGAAGGAATTTGAGTATTTAACAGAAACAAAACAGAAAGCTAAAAAATACTAAAGTTCCTACAGGATTTCTGGTAACGCTGAAGGTGCAAAGCAGAAGTTAAATTAATGCTCAGAGTAAGCAACATATCAGTCTGTGTATGCTAATTGTGCTGTAACACGATGATTTTGGATATCTGTAGGGGAAACGAATAGGAGGTGTCAGGACTGGCGAGGGAAGGTCTAACCAGCACAAGGGAAGTGGAGATTTTTCCATATACTAAAATTTGATCGCCAGGAATAGCTAATTTGAATAATCCAGCCTCCAAATGCACATGGATTGGCTATCCATAATGCTCACACTACACATAGTAGTAGTTTGTAAGCTTTTTATAGACAAGGATTGTGATCTCTTTCTTTTCTAAAGCACACTCCTAGCCTAGCATGTAGTCTTAATAAATGTTGATGTTAACGTTTAAAATCCTCATAAACATTTTAAAATAAAGATGAAGGTGGAATTCAGGTTTGTTGTGTTTTTAAATGTCATACATATGACTTTTTCACATATATCTGATATTTTTCAGAACTTACACAAAACGGCACTGCAGAGCTTCTTTATTAAGTAGCATATGAAGTGGGAAAATCGGTTGAAATATTTTCCTGAAGTAACTTTACCAGCTGCAGAGTTTGTAGGTTTGTGACTTGTGGCCTGGCTCATCTAATGAGCCAGGTGAATCAGACCTACTGGATTTTTCTCTGGCCCTATTCTGACACGCAGAGAGGCATTTGTTAGTAATATTGCCTGTTCAAAGAGTACTGGGAATAGTAGTAAGGACAAACTCAAAAGTATTCATGTGTGTATTCTGCACATGAGTAAGAAGTGAGAATATTTTGAAAAAAAAATGTTAATAAAATGTTCCTTTGGAGGGCCTTTATAAGTTGTATTTCCAGTAATTTTTTTTCACATTTAAAAAATTATGCTACCTTTAAGTGTTACAGTTTCTTAATTTTCCCATTTCTTTTTCACTATCTTTGACCCAGATTCTTCAGACTAGGGTTTCTCAACCTCTGCACTACTGACATTTTGGGCCGAATAATTCTTTGTTGTAGGAGGCTGTCCTGTGCGTGGTAGAATGTTTGGCAGTATCTCCAGCCTCTCCCACTGGATGCCCAGTTTTGACAACTCAAAATGTCTCCAGACATTGCCAAATGTCCCCTGGGGGTGGGAGCAACATTGCCCACTGTCAAGAACCACTGCTTTAGACAAAAGTATATGACACAGAGGAGAAGAAAAATCTAGTTAAGAGAATGTTAGGTGGAAAGGATTGTAGTCATCAAAATTCCATCCATACTTTTTTTCCCTCATCACTCAAGTATTACTAAGCTAACATAGCGACAAAATAATTCCTTTACTCTATAGGTGATGTCACTCTGGTGCTCCTAACTAATTCTTCCTTCTTGTTTTCTTTTGCAGAATTAAAAATACGTTTCCTTGTTTATCAGATAACATCACTGCTCGATGAAGCAAGGAAGATATACATGAGAAATTTTAAATACATATCGCTGACTCCTTGGAATGGACATCCTGTATAAGCACTGAAAAGCAACAACACAATAACACTAAAATTTTAGGCACTCTTAAATGATCTGCCTCTAAAAGCGTTGGATGTAGCATTGTGCAATTAGGTTTTTCCTTATTTGCTTCATTGTACTACCTGTGTATATAGTTTTTACCTTTTATGTAGCACATAAACTTTGGGGAAGGGAGGGCAGGGTGGGGCGGAGGAATTGGTATGGGGGAGGGATAAAGAACTTGCTTCAATTTGACTTGTATGAAGAGAAGCAATTTTGGGGAAGGGTTTGAATTGTTTTCTTTAAAGATGTAATGTCCCTTTCAGTGAGAACTGATACTTCTTTTGAAAAGTCATCAAAATTTGAACACTGGCTACAAACAGTTGCTATTTATTTTTACATGAAGCTTATTCTTACTTGGGAGACCTGATGATTCCGTTATGTAGCAGTAAATGGCTTAAAAAAAAAAAAAGGGCAACAAAAACCTGTCTTCAGTGTTCTCCCCAGTCTCCCTTAAAGTTGGAATTTACCAGCTAATTATTCAGCAGTTCGGTAATCAGTCCAGGTAATTTGGGGCAAACTTGAGGGTACGGGGGGAGTTCTAAATGCTCAGAATTAACCATCTGTTTTTCTCAATTTTGGGGGGAAATTTTTTAAATTTTATTTTCACTTTGGGCTACCTAGACATAGTCAAAAAATTTTAAATCCTGGAATATTTTTAAAGATCTGTAAGTAATTTCACATAAAAAAAAATGAAATAATTTTTAATTTAAAGCTTATTCTATCTGTCCATTTGCCCAAAGGAAAAGTGTTTTTTGTTTTTTTAAAGGAAAGATTGTGTAGAGAAAAACACACTTGTGGAACAGTGAAATGGATACTACATCTTTAAACAGTATTTCTTCATTGCCTGTGTATGTGTATGAAACAAAACCATTTGAAGTGTACCTGTGTACATAACTCTGTAAAGACACTGAAAATTATACTAACTTATTTATGTTAAAAAGAGATTTTTTAAAAAATCTAGACAATATACAAGCCAAAGTGGCATGTTTTGTGCATTTGTAAATGCTGTATTGGGTAGAATAGGTTTCCCCCCTCTTCTGTTAAATAATATGGCTATGCTTAAAAGGTTGCATACTGAGCCAAGTATAATTTTTTGTAATGTGTGAAAAAGATGCCAATTATTGTTACACATTAAGCAATCAATAAAGAAAACTTCCATAGCTACTCATTGAGTCGAACTGTAATGTGCTTTACTAAGCCTGAGGTGTTTGACCTGGCATTCTAGTCATATTTACCCAAATACAGCGTGAAGTGGCAAATATCTAGGTAATTCAGGCCACAACTCAGATGTTGTTTTATGTGAGTCCCAATGTAGTTACTGTCTTTCGCTTAGTTCTGTTTGGGTGGACAAAGCTTTAGAAAGTGAAGGTGGAAAAGCCACATTTTCACATAAATAAGATCGTCAAAGTCTGCATTAGTTAAAACATTTATGTCTTCTAGGACATGAATGTGTCAGAACCAAAAAATTCTTACATAAGTGTAGTCTGATCACACATTTGCAGGATTGAAAATGAAAGTAACATGGTGACTTCTCTAAATTCTGTATTTTCACATGAGAAGTGTGAAGAATTAAAGCAATGGTTCAAACCCTCTAATGTACAAATCTTTAAAAAAAATTTCATACATACTACCTATATCTAGGTAGGTAGTTTTGAAATGTAACTTCAATTTCTAAATATCCTGGTTATAATCTACACACCTAAAAACGGGTTAACCTAAATAACCAAATCTGGGGGTTTGGGGTCCCCCCATCCTTACAGCAGAATTATGTATTCTTTATTTAAGAAAAAAAATTAAAGACATTTTAGTCATTACTAAAATGATTGTTGTAATTCCACATTCTTAGAAAGTGGTTAAGGTGTAAAAGTAAATTATTTATCCTAGGAATCTGCAAATGGGTAAATCGTAAAAATCTGGATTCAGATTAAATTGTCCCCCTCAGATATCTGCATTTACATTATTGGGCCCCCAAAAGAGCTTGAAACAAAGTCAGCATTTTTTTACTCGAAGATTTTTCTTTTTTTCTTTTTTAAAGCAGGGTGGACTCTCATCGGCTGTCGGGAAGGAAAAAAAATAGGTCCCTTAGTGGCTGGGCCACATCTTTCAAGTAGGTATCATTTAAATTAAAGACTACAGGTGTTATTGTGATTTTGTTTTAAACACACTTAACAGGCTGTTTTTCAGGAAGCGACAGAGAAAAAAAAAATCAAAATGAGGAGGAAGTAGAGGGTCAGAACATAGTGAAATAAAATTAAAGTTCCTCTGAGTAAAAAAGGATACTCTTAACTTTCCTCTAACAGAGGAAAAAACATCCTCCGGACTGCGGCAGGTACCCCCTTCTCTTTCTCCAAGAGATCTCTTTCATGTGACTTTTTAGGGCTTGCGTTTTAGGAATGCGGGCCCGGGAGAAGTGGATGCTCGCCGCGCCAGTCACGTTCCCAGGGACGCACCCCAAGTCACCGTGTCCTCTGTCCCTAACACATTGTGTCAAGCCTCCAAAAGCGACCCCGTTTCTCGGATCGTCCTCCCTCTGCCGGGCCTGCGGGCCGGCCGCATACCTCCCCCGGGGG